CGACTCGTCGATCAAGGCGTTGAAGCTGAGGGCTCATCTTAGGGCATAGGGTTTATAGGGTTTAGGGTTTAGGGCTTAGGGTTTAGGGTTGAGGGTTTAGGGTTTAGGGTTCATTGTTTAGGGTTCAGGGTCAAGCCCAGCAGCACCGACCATGGCTTTAAAGGTAGTTTGGGGGCGATGGTCCGCGTAGGTGCCGGCACCTTGATTCACAGCGGTGCTTGTCCGCACTCTGGGCATGTTTATGCCCCCTCAGCCGTATCCCTAAACCCTAAACCCTAAACCCTAAGCCCTAAACCGTGGTGGACAGGTCCCCTTGTATCCAGCATCGAAACATGAGGCCCTGATTCAACCCCTTAACCCTAAACCCCCTAAACCCTCTAGACCGTCTAAACCTCCTGAACCCCCTGAACCGCCAAGCCCCTAAAGTCTAAACCCTGAACCCTAAAGCCTGAACCCTAAACCGGAACCCTAAACCCTAAACCCTAAACCCTAAACCCTGAACCCTAAACCCTCAACGCCTCAAAAAAACCCGAAAACAAGGCGCTGGGGGTGAAACTTCGTGGCGGGCTCAACCAGCAGAAGCTGAACGGCCCCCCGGAGTGACGCTGAAGTTTAGGGTTTAGGGTTTAGGGTTTAGGGTTTAGGGTTTAGGGTTTAGGGTTAATGCCTTCAGCCCTTAGAAACGCTTAAACCCTAAACCCGTAAGCCTTTGCAAACCCTTAAACCTTGGCAAGCCCTAGAACCCTTACAACCCTTAAGCCCTTACAAGCCGATAAGCCTTTACAAACCCTTAAACCCTTTAAACCCTAAATCCTAAGCCCATATCATGAATGCACCCCCTGGACTCATGTTAGGAGGTTTGGGGTTTATGCTGTTTAGGGGGTTTGGGGTTGAAAGTTTGGGGCCGGAGGCTCAGTCAGCGTTTGTAAGGTTAAGAGCTGTAGATTCGAAAGCCTCGACCCTGTGAGCCCCTACAGCCCTAAACCCATTACCTTGCAGGGTTTGGGGGTTAGGATTTAGGGTTTACGGTTTAGGGTTTAGGGTTTAGGGTTTAGGGTTTTGGGCTGAGGGTCTAGGGCTTGCAAAGTGCAAAAAACGAGCTCCACTTGCCCGATGCTGCAGAGATTCCCCCCCCCCCCTTCTTCCCCGGATTGGGTGTAGAGTTTAGGGTTCCCCCAAGCCCTAAACCTTAAACCCTAAACAACCTTAAACCCTAAGCCCCATACCCTAAACTCTAGCCCTAAACCCAGAACCCTAAACCCCAGGCTTCTTCGAGGAGGTCCTGAAGAAGTACCCCAAGGAGATGTATCGGATGAAGGGCATCCTCGATGTGAAAGGAATCGAGGAGAGGTACATTTTCCACGCAGCGCCCTGCTCTGCCCACCACGAGTTTCTTTTTTTTTGGGGGGGGTTTAGGGTTCAGGGTTTTTCCCCGGGCCCTAAGGACGCATGTACCTATGGTAGTATATACTTTGGGCCTTAAAGGGGTTCCTATTATAGTAGCTTTAGGGCCCAGGAAAAAATACAGGTACAGGGATCCTTTGCGGTGCTTTTTCTTTTTTCCGGGGGGGGGAGGGTGGCCGCCTTTTCCACGCGGACGAGTTTGAAGCCCATGGGGGGGGCGGGTTTGGGGGGGGGTTGGGGGCGCAGGGGGGGGGGGGGGGTGGGGGGGGGGCGGGGGGAGGGGTGGGGGGGGGGGCGGGGGGGGGGGGGGGGGGGGGGGGGGGGTGCGAGGGGGCGGGGTGGGGGGGGGGGGTGGGGGGGGGGGTGGTGTTTTCGTTTGGGGTTTTGGGGCTTTAGGGTTTCAGGGCTTGAGGGTTTTAGGGTTTTTGGGTTTTGAGGTTTTGGGGTTTTGGGCTTTCGGGTTCAGGGTTTAGGGTTTGCGTTTAGGGCTTTGGACTTTCGGGTTTAGGATGTGAGGGTTCAAGTCTTCAGGGTTTAGGGTTGTTTGGTTTATCGTCTTCTTTAGGGTTTGTGAGTTTGAGGGTTTATCGGCTTTAGGGTCCAGCGGTGTAGGTTTTTTGGTTTATAGGTTTCAGGTGTTGGGTTTAGGCTTTCGGGCTTTGGTGTTGCGGCCAAGCGTGCCCTATGAAACCCAAGGGCCCATACTTCAGAACCCTTTAAAGAAGCTAAGGGACCATATCAAGGAACCATGTAACAACCCCAAATCCTAAACCCGAAACCCTAAACCCTAAACCCTAAACCCATCGTTGCTCAACAGAATATGACTCCTGGGCAACCAAGTCCCAGGTGAACTGTCACTTTGGTGGCATGCCACAGGGGCCATGGCCTTCTGATGGCCGCGCCACCTGGGTGCAAGCAAATTAGGAGTTGGGATGTTGCCCCCCCCCCCCCCCCTAATTCCTAGGTAGGATTAGGGGGACCCTTAAAGGGGAGCCCTTCTGAAACCTCTTCTGGCTCTCTTAAACAGGGACCACATTCAGAGGGTCTATATCCCCAAGGGTCCCCCCAATCCTATCCCCTCCCCTAAACTAACGGTCCTGAACAGGGATTGTAATAGGGGGTACGATAATTCCTCTTAAGGACTGCTAGTATAAGGGGGAACATCCAAAGTTTAGGGGTCGGAAGAAACACTAATAGTCCCTTTATAATTCTACTATACTAAACCCCGAAACCCTATTCTAATTTGCGAGCGCTTCTTTGGGGGGCTTCCGTGGAGCTAATGGGGCTTTGAGAAGGCTTTTTGAGACCTAAACCCAAAACCCTCAACCCTCAACCCTAAACCCGAATCCCGAACCCGGGCTTTGAGGGTCTGGGTTTTGATTTAGGGTCTGCTCGCTGGCGGGTTCATAGGGTCTTAGTGTCAGAGGGTAGAGATACGGGGCTTAGGGTTTAGGGCTTAGGGCGTTTGGCTTGAGGGATTGTTTTTGGTGTTTGGGATTTAAGATTTCAACTTGAGACCCCAAAGCCCGGCTTCTTGTGTTTAGGGTGCAGGGTTTAGGGTATCTGATGAGGTAGGCGGGGGGGGGGGGGGGACAGTACCGCGAAGTAGCGATTTGGTTTCCTGAGAGCAGGGCTTGTAACTTGTGTTTTTATTTAGAGGCAGGTCGGAAAGGTCGGAGTTGAGGGTATGGGATTTCGGACTACATGAACCCTAAACCCTAAACCCTAAACCCTAAACCCTAAACCCTAAACCCTAAACCCTAAACCCGCCACAGTTCTAGGATTTAGGGTTTAGAGCTCAGGGTTGCAAACGGCACATGGTAGTGTGTGCCGTTGTTTCAAGGTTGCCTTCTAAAGTAACCAACCCCAAAAGGGTACTGTACCCTTATTCTAGGGTCTAGGGTTTAGGGTTTAGGGTTTAGGGGTATAATATGGTTTCTCTAGCTGATGGGTTGCAGTAGTCCCCGTCGCCACCTTCGCCAGCTTCCTCGTCGGCAGCGCACATGTGGCATCGCGAGACCGGGGGGGTGGGGGAACACCCTAACCCCTAAACCTTAAACCCTAAACGCTAAACCCCAAACCCTCAACCCTAAACCCGAAACCCGAAACCCTAAGCCCGAAACCAAAACTCCTAGGCATTTGACTCGAACTCGTGCGCGCGTCGTCGGATTCTGCCAGCCGAAGCCCTGAACCCTGAACCCTGAACCCTAAACCCTAAACCCTAAACCCTAAACCCTAAACCCTAAACCCTAAACCCTAAACCCTAAACCCTAAACCCTAAACCCTAAACCCTAAACCCTAAACCCTAAACCTAAACCCTAAACCCTAAACCCTAAACCCTAAACCCTAAACCCTAAACCCTAAACCCTAAACCCCTAACTAACCCACCCCCCAAAGTCTATGGTCCCAAGTGTGGGCCCTCAATTTGGGTCCCTTGTTATATAACCCTTATGTACACTGCACATAGAAACATTCGGATCCCTATAAACAAGGGTAAGGGACCAAACCCTAAACCCTAAACCCTAGACCCTAAACCCTAAACCCTAAACCCTAAACCCTAAACCCTAAACCCTAAACCCTAAACCCTAAACCCCACGCTAAGGGCCCATGATTCCGACCTTAGACAAAGCCCCAAAACCCCAAAAGACCTCAGGAGAGCAAGGCAGTCTTCATCGGGAAGGTTGGGAAGGGGGGAGGGTTTAGGGTTTAGGGTTTAGGGTTTAGGGTTTAGGGTTGAGGGTTGAGGGTTGAGGGTTGAGGGTTTGGGGTTTAGGGTTTAGGGGTGCTCTGCCCTCTCCTGGGAGTTCAGAGCTTACCAGGTATCTCCACTCCCTAAACCCTAAAGCCGAAACCCCATTTCGGCTCTAAATCCTCGAGTTGGAAAGGATTCAGGGTGCATGAGGGGTTTAGGGTTCAGGGCCTCGGCCTTCGGGTTTAGGGCTTAGGGCTCAGGGCTTCTAGGGCGGGGGGGCAAAAGAACCAGTGGCACCCATCATTTCCTTTGTTAGGGGTAGCGTACTCTTCTAGCCACGAAAGCAAGGAGGACGAACCCTCAGTCTTCACGGAGGCATGTGGCCCCCTGGTAGCCATCTTCAGGAGTTTTGAGGGTTTAGGGT